CCAGGACACTGAGCTTTCTCATTGGTTAGTGGACGTGTGCTAAATGTAATACCTCTCCAGTACCCTCTTTTTTTCTTCTTTTTTTTGCGGTACGCGGGCCTCTCACTGTTATGGCCTCTCCCGTTGCGGAGCACAGGCTCCAGATGCGCAGGCTCAGCTACCATGGCCCACGGGCCCAGCCGCTCCGCGGCATGTGGGATCCTCCCCGACCAGGGCATGAACCCGTGTCCCCTGCATCGGCAGGCAGACTCTCAACCACTGCGCCACCAGGGAAGCCCTAGCCAGTATATTCTTTACTGTACCATTGCAGGGTAGAGGAAGATAAGTAGGTGGCCAGAAAACGGTATCCCCTGTTTATGGCCCTCAGTCTCATGAGGTAGATAGAATCACCCTGGGCATATTACCTCTTGAACAACTCCTACTCTTTCCCTCAAGTTGTATCCCCTTCTATATCCATGCCTACAATGAGCTCTTGCATATTCAATAAGGGATTGAAGATACACAAGAAGAAGAGGAACATACAGACTGTCCCTTCTCTGAGGAATGTAAGATCTATTGGGGAAGACAACAGCGAACCAACAATTGCAGTAGGACATAATTGTGCAAGGATGGAAGCACGATCAGGAGCTGGGGAACACAGGTGCAAGTGACTCACGCTTCCTGGGGGCTTCAGGAAAGATTTCATAAAGGAAGTTCTATCTGAGATGGGCCTTGAAGACACATGGAGAAAAGGGGAACTCTTACAGACTTACAGTGTTAAAGATCTTTTTTGGTTAACCTCTCTGTGGTGGGCAACTATTTTTTTGTTTGTCCAACCTACCATCTCTCTCTCTCTCTCTCTCTCTCTCTCTCTCACACACACACACACACACACACACACATTCCTATTTTAATAAAAATTCCCCTTTAGAAAACCACCCCTCTTCTTCTTTCAGTCCAGAGGTTTTATTTGTCATTGACCTCTGCCTAGTAAATCAGAGTTAAGACATTGATTCATTTAGAGATTGATGCGTGACCTACATTTGACCAAGTAAGAATCACACCCATAATTTTTGCATTCATTAGTCGTCAGAACATAAGGATTTTCTCAGGGCTTGTTATTTAGGAGGATGTAAGTCTACAGGGGCTATTGCTCATGTGTACCACCAATAATGTGGGGAGGGCTTGCCTGAGAATGAAGTCAGTTAGAGCAGACACAGAAGAAAGTGTTTTGATGACGTTTTAAGTACCCATGTCTACCTATGCCTGAAGCCAGTAACACCTCTATATGCCATAGGTAAATTACCCAATAAAATTCAGACTTGATAGATAATTCACACTAATACAGTAAATGCTACTTAAGTAACATTTGCATATTACCTGGGACCTTCTAGAGGCATCTTCTTATGCATATTAATGGTGGGAGGTTTCTACACACAGCAACCATTCAAAAAGCACTTGTAAATCAACTATACTCCAATAAAAATTTTTTTTAAAGGCGCAAAAAGCATTTGTCAATCACATCATCAATCATCAGCTATGGGCCTGCTCTGTATGAAATACTGCTCTTGGCCTGGGGATATAGATAAATAACAGAGCCCTTCAAGAAGTCCAGTGGTAAAGACAGGCAAGCAATCAATTACAATGTCACATGATAAGATAATATGAAGTTTAGTCACAGTTTTGGTTTTTTTTTTCTTTAGACAAAGAAAGGAGAGAGAATATTTCTGGGGGAGGAGAAGGAAAGCTTCCTGGAAGAGACCATATCTCTAACAATGGAAAATGAAGCAAGAGTTCACAAGACAGGAAAATAGTGTTAGAGCTTTCCAAAGACAGAATCAGCTTGTTCTTTAGGCAAGGCATAACTAATAGTGTGTTCAAGGAAGAGCAGGTTTTTCTGTAGTAGAAAAGCAAAACATGGATGGCGAGATTGGTCTGAAATTCATCTGAGAAGCATACTGAGATTCAATGATAAATGTGTTTAGCTGTACCAGTTTTGCCCTGTGAAAAATAGGAGGCCAGAAAAAGAAAACATTTTTTAAAAAGAACCAAATTGCTCAGGTTTGAATTTTGGAAGATGCATCTGGTTGTAAGAGGGGACATTTGATATTGTGTGGGGCAGAAATAGAATAGAGATAGGGATGGAAACATGAATGTTACTATAATAGACTAAGAGAGACGGTAGGGCAGACCGAAGGCAGTTGTAGTTGGGATGAGAGGAAGAGGTAAGAGAAGGAAGAAGAGGGATAAGAAAAGATGACACAATGCTTGATGAACAACTGGGGAGAAGTAATTTTACCTTCTTAACTCTCATTGCAAATGCAGATCACTGTGCCAGGAAGTAGAGGGTGTCTAGGTGAACTTGACCCAGATACCTCCAAGTGGCAGAAACTTCAGTGGCAGGCATTACTTTTGGAATCACCTACATTTTGGGGATCCCGCATCCATCGTAAGCAGAAGTCTTTCCAGCAAGCACTGGCCAGCTACATTTCTTTCACTGAAATAACATACCCAGAGCCCATCTAGCAGCCAGACTCCACTGAGGTTTTCAGAATGCAATTAACATCATCCTCAGTCAACATACACCTGTTACGTGCAAAGTATTGGATCAGACTGGCCTTCTAAGCATTTTGGAGTTCTTACAACTATCCTATGAGATGGGCAGTTATCATTATCTCCATTTTCCAAATGAGGAAAATAAGGCTTGCAATAAGTGCACATTCTGTTGTTTTTTGTTTTCTTCTGTTTAAATCATCTTGCATGTATACATTAGACTCATTTTTTAAAAATCTTGAATATGTTTCCACACCCTTATATAATATTTGTAACAGGATTATCAGGCTCAAATAATATTCAGTCAAATGTCTGTAACGTCATTTATTCTGGAGGTATTTAAGTCACTCCTTTTTTTTTTCTGGTATTGTGAATATTGCTATGATAAACATCCTTATTTACAGAAGAATAGATCTCTGGTTATCTTCTGCAATGAATTCCTAGAATTAGATTTACTAGCATGAACATTCTTAGTCATAACGTCTTTTTCCAAATATTGGAAAGGGTTTCTAAAAATAGTGATATTGTGGATTATCAGAGTTTTAAAACAAGGTTTGGAGGAAGAGTTGCTTGATTAATGAAGGAAGAGCTAGTAATACAGTCAATTACATTTCTTACTAATTCAATTGGCCTTTTCTCCCCATCATCACCTAATCATAATGCTGTCTTAGACAAGCGAATCCTATTCAAAAAACAGAAAAATCCAAGGCCATAAATCACTTATTACTGCTTTATCACTTACTCTTTTTTTCTTATGCAGTGAATCTCTATTTATTTTAATGTAGTTTACTTACTGACAATATATGTTTTAACTGTGAATGTTTGATAGATTTGTAAATCATTTTTAGCAAGAAAATCACATAGCAATAGAAACAATCTCAAAATGTTCTCTCCATAGCATAAGCTACTTTCAAAAATGTTATTTCTATTTCTTCATGAATAGATTATATACTTAGAATGAGGTTTATCACAGATTTAAGGGATGATGATTTGTCTTTAAAATCATTTTCTTAAAAAGTTGAACTCACAGAAACAGAGTAAAAAAGTGGTTGCCAGGGGTTAGGGGTGGAGGAAATAGAGAGAGGTTGGTAAAAGGGTACATTTCAGTTGTAAGAAGAATAAGGTCTGAGTCTGATGTATAGCATGGAGACTTTGTTTATAACACTATATTGTATAATTGACATTTGAAATTTGCTAAGAAGGTAGAGCTTAAATGTTCTCACACACACAAAAAAGTAAATATGTGAGATGATGGATGTGTTAATTTGATGGGGGGAAGTTCTTTCACATTGTGTAAGTATATCAAGTCATCATGTTGTGCACTTTAAATATCTTATAAAATACAATTATAATTGTATTGGTCAACTTGATAAAGCTGGAAAAAATAAAGTAAATCTAAAATATTTTGTCAAAGATATCTATGAGTATATAATGAAGTTCTTTAACAGAAGAAAAAAATTAGTAAAAATGTACAAATTAAATAAATAAATAAAATCCTAGTCTTTTTTTTTTTTTTTTGCGGTACACGGGCCTCTCACCGCTGCGGCCCCTCCCGCTGCAGAGCACAGGCTCCGGACGCGCAGGCCCAGCGGCCATGGCTCACAGGACCAGCCGCTCCGCGGCATGTGGGATCTTCCCGGACCGGGGCACGAACCCGTGCCCCCCGCATCGGCAGGCGGACTCCCAACCACTGCGCCACCAGGGAAGCCCCAATCCTAGTCTTTAGTTACAATTTCAAATGTCTTTATAGTTAATTGGCATTTTTTCTCATTTCCAGGCTTTTAAATTTATTTTATAATTACTCTGCATCACTTCACCTTGAGTTGTTTTAATAAGGTTTTTATTTGGAATGATTTGAATTTACAGAAAATTTGCAGAGGTAGTACAGACTCTTCATGTCATATCCTTTATCCAGTTTCTCTTAATGTTAATTGTGTGTACAGCCATTTATCAAAACTAAGAAATTGACATTGATACAATACTCTTCAATCAAGCTATACACTTTATTTGGATTTCACCAGTTTTTCCACTGAAATCCTTTTTTCTGTTTCAGAATTCAATTACTATAGAATCCAAATACTACATTGCATTTAGTCTATCTTTTGGTTTGTCAAATTCTTCATTGATCTGACTAGAGTGTTATTATGTTAATTTGAAATGTGGCTGATGAAGGCTTATCCTCAGAGCAGCAGTTTCTTCTCTTGTCCTAAAATCTACTTCTGGTTGTCTTATTAGTATTATCTTCAATCAATATTCTCTTTTCAGGAATTTTTAAAATCCACTTCTTTTTAAATGGGTTAATTTAGTCAAACCCAGGTTAAATAATCCATAAATCTACTTAACTCAGCCATGCTAAACTTCAGGACTTCACAACACAATGGCAGTAGAATAATTGCCAATCTTGTTAAGTTATGGAATTCTCACTCTTTCACAGGATACATTGAACATTGTTCAGGACTTGGGACCCTCTGAAAGATGGAGAAACTAATAGCACCAGCTTCAATCAATGTGTGAGTATCAGGAAAAAATTTTTTTCTCACTTTTTGATAAATGGATATAAATTCTATTTAAATACAAGCATACCTTGGAGATATTGCGGGTTCAGTTCCAGACCAGTGCAATAAAGCAAATATCACAGTAAAAGGAGGCATACAAACTCTTTGGGTTTCTCAGTATATATAAAAGTTATGTTTACACTATGTATAGTGTAAGTGTGCAGTAGCATTTTGTCTAAAAAATCCTAATCATCATCTGAGCAAGTTGTAGTAGGAACGTCAAAGATCACTGATCACAAGTCACTGTCACAAATACAATAATAATAATGAAAAATTTGAAATACTGTGAGAACTTGTAGAATGTGACACAGAGAAACGAAGTGAGCACATGCTATTGGAAAAATGGTGCTGATGATAGACTTGCTCAATGCAAGGTTGCCACAAAAACTTCAATTTGCAAAAAGCGCAGCATTTGCAACACGCAATAAAGTGAAATGCAATAAAACGAGGTATGCCTGTATATGAATATTAAAATAGGTTTCAGTATTTTCTTCCCATATGGCCATAGATATGCTTGGCCCACTGAAGGGATTCTGCCCCCATAGGAGGCTTCCCAGCTTCTGCAGGCTTTAACAATGCTGGGAGGAAGTAATAGTGCCACTGGGGCTGGTGCAGCCCCACCCATAGCCTTCCTTTCTAGTCCTCACTGCTCAGGAATGCATCCTTGTTAAACCAGGCTCAGAAGCTCAATGTGTCTGCTCTGAGTCAACTGAAAACGCTCCTGAAATATGACATCTGCAGTGTTAGGGAGAGCAGAACTTTGTTGTGTGGCATTTAAACTTTCAGCAGGATCACAGAATGTCTGTTATTTCAAGTTGGACTTGATTATTTTTTTTTAACCGCCAGACTTTCAGACCATACAATACCAGCTTTCTTCAAATGTAACTCTTAAGTTCCTTTTATGGTAAAGTTTAATACTGTGAACATATGGAAGGTTTGAACGTCTGCCAAATGTTTTAAAAGACAAGGTTATAAATACCCCGGCAGCAAGCTTTGTTCCTTAATGTATGGCTCTGTTACTCGGAGTCAACGTGGAAGATAAATCAGAACATAGAGCTGGCTTGGGCATTAATTGATATTTCTGGCATGTATTCATAGTATCTCATTCGAGAGAGAGAAAGAGAAGTGGTTGTTCGGAGGTAACATTAACAGAATGCAAAAAAAAAAAAAAGAACGGAATTACAGCTTAACTAAAACATCTAAAATGTGAATACACAGTCCAATTCTCTCACCAGAAGGTTGAAGCATGAAAAGTCATCATAAAGCCGATGGGACTGGAGATTATAGTCTTTGCCTCATTCTTCTAGATTTGGAAGAGATACCTCTTAATTTCCTGGGTAATGGATCTCCCCATCCCACCTCAAGCTCAGTTCTTCACTAATCCCTAGGGCACTATTCTCAAGTGTCCCTCTGCCCAAAGTTAGGCTCGTTCCCGCCTGATTCAGCTCAGGACCCACCACGATCATTTCTCTGATTCTGCTCTTTCCCTAGAAACAGGGATTGGCTGACCTGCCCTTGCTCTCCACAGCTTCTGACACAGCTGGAGCCATTTGTGGCTGGGCTGACAGTCAAAAGGGACTTCCTCAACATAGGATGCACTGTTTCAAGGCTGGGCCTAACACGTCTTTGAGATGAGGCTTCTTGGCTGAATAAACCTCAGCATGGCATAAGGAAGGCTCTTTGCCTGAACTTTTCAGGTCACTAGGATAATGTTTACTGACTCATGTCCTCCTCACAGTAAGTGCACTTAGTATCCTGAATGGCTTAATGTAGCTTCCAGTGATTCCAGAAACGGCCTGGACTGAGCTCATTTATGTGGCAGGATGTGATTAAGGGCAGAAAGCTAAAAAAGATATCAAGAGAACTAAGACTAAGAACTAAGACTATTTTTTCCACTTCCTGGATAAGAATTTTTTGTTCTTTTTCACATACCATCTAAACCTGAACTTCCACTTCTCTAAAATGGGAATAATAGCAAACCTGACTTACTTAGAATATTGATGAGACACATATGACATAGGGCATGAGGAAGCTCATAAGAGCCTGAAAAGTGCTTTTGCTTTTTTTATTGCTGAGTTGGGGTTTGCTGGTATAACAAAGAACCTTCAACTCAAAATGGATTACAAACACAATTTGAACTCTCACACATGGTACATGTTGTCTGTGGGTTTCTTGCCACTCTGCTCCACTTGGACACTTTCTGCTTCACTCCAGGATTCAGGGTAACCCCCTATCTGGGGATTGTTTTTGGTAGTGTAGGGGAAAAACGATAGTAGAACCCTATGGTGGTTCTGGAACCTTCTGCTCCAATGTGTCATGTGTCAAATCTGCTCATATTTCATTAGCCAAAGCAAGTCATATTAATAGTCCTGACCTCAGTTGGTGGAAAAGTATACATATCTCATGGGAAAACAAAACAAAACCTGTCTCTTCTCTGCCTTACTTGTAGCCCTTGGACAACTATTATGAAGTAGCCTAGAAAGAAGGAACTCACCTGAAATTAAATAGACAGGGAGGGAATAGAGGATGAAAGATTTTATGGAGACAGTTAGAGGGGGGAAAAAGGCAATAAGGAATGAAAAGCGAAAAAAAAAAAGAACAAAACATCATACACAACACTTCTGTCCCAGAATTTGTGAAGGAGATGTTGTAACTCATAGTGCAAGATTAGAGCTGAATTCTTAGTGAAAACCAGGGTTCCCACACACTGTCACGTCAATGACAGTGACAAGTTACATTAGACTCTGGGTCTCAGAGCCTTGGTTACTTGGCTATAAAATGAGAAGAATGAAAGCAAGTGCATCTCATAAGTTTCAATGAGATAAATAGATATGAAAGTGTAAGTCATAGAACTATCAGGCAGAAACAAATAAAGCAACATTTTGGGGGAGGTTGTCTATTTGCTTTTGCTTACTCTAACAATAATCATGATAGAAGGACCCAGTAACAATTAATCACTCTCTCCTTCCACCTACCTAGCCATCAGCCACCAAGTCATCCACACACATATCCAACCTATATTTCCCTACATCAACGATTTAGAAAATTTAGCGTTCCATAAAGAAAACAAAAGCGTTTGCTGAAGATAGCTGGAAAGTCCCATAGTCATATTCCTAATTACATACATCTAATTGTGAACAATATTCAGTATATGCACATTTCCATCTGCAGAGTTGATGAGAGGAGGAAAACTCAGAAAACTGGTTGCACAAAGCTTGGAGTGGTCCCTTTCCCTGAATACACTCCCTGTTTGGTATGCCCGAGGCCTCACTCAGGACTCATGTCTGTTCCCTCTGCCTGGAAAACTCCTCCTCTGTGGGTCAGCACAACCAGCTTCCCACATCCTTCAGATCTCTGCTCGGGAGTTACCTCATTAGAGATGCTTTCTTGACCATTTTATACAAAATAACAATCCGGCAGCATGAGAGAGAGAGAGAGAGTCTTACAAAAGGACAGAGACATTTTGTTGTTGTTGTTCAGTGATCTAACTCTTAAGTGTAAATAGTGTCTGGCACAGAGGAGGCACATATGAAAATGCTTTGAATGAAGCCAGTTGTGTTTTGTGCAGTCTCTGGTTCCAGTCAACCCAGATAACCAGCTCACTTAATTAAGATTGAACCTTCAGGATCACCTTAAGCCATACAGTCATTCATCTCTACCTGGTTTGCCTTAACTTTCCACTAGGATATTGGGCAGCTATCAAAACTTTCTTTTATAGGCCATTTGGTACATGAAATCACCAAATTTACATCCGTAAAAAAATGCATTGCAGGAGTGTCCAAGCAATAAACCTGACCAAGGAGGTGAAAGACTTAGATGCTGAGAACTATAAAACATTAATAAAGGAAATTAAAGAAGATTCAAAGAAATGGAAAAATATCCCCTGCTCTTGGATTGGAAGAATTATTATTGTTAAAATGGCAATACTACCCAAAGCAATTTACAGACTTAATGCAATCCCTATCAAATTACCCATGACATTTTTCACAAAACTAGAGCAAATAATCCATAAATCTATATGGAACCATAAAAGACCCAGAATTGCCAAAGCAATCCTGAGGGGGGAAAAAAAATGAAGCAGGAAGCATAACTCTCCCAGACTTCAGACAATACTACAAAGTTACAGTAATCAAAACAGTGTGGTGTGGCCTTCCCTGGTGGCACAGTGGTTGAGAGTCCACCTTCTGATGCAGGGGATACGGGTTCGTGCCCTGGTACGGGAAGATCCCACATGCTGCGGAGCGGTTGGGCTCGTGAGCCATCGCCGCTGAGCCTGCGCATCCGGAGCCTGTGCTCTGCAATGGGAGAGGCCACAACAGTGAGAGGCCCGCGTACCGAAAAAAAAAAAACAAAAACAAAAACAGTGTGGTGTTGGTACAAAAACAGACATACAGATCAATGGAACAGAATAGAGAGCCCAGAAATAAATCCACACACCTATGGTCAATTAATCTTTAACAAAGGAGGCAAGAATATAAAGTGGGAAAAAGTCTCTTCAGCAGGTGGTGCTGGGAAAGTTGGACAGCTGCATGTAAGTCAATGAAGTTAGAACACACACCATGCACAAAAATAAACTCAGAATGGCTTAAAGACTTAAACGTAAGACATGGCACCATAAAACTCCTAAAGAGAGCATAGGCAAAACATTCTCTGACATAAATTGAACAAGGTTTTCTTAGGTCAGTCTCCCGAGGCAATAGAAATAAAAACAAAAATAAACAAATGGGGGGACTTAATCAAACTTACAAGCTTTTGCACAGCAAAGGAAACCATTAAAAAAAAAAAAAAAAGACAACCTATGGAATGGGAGAAAATATTTGCAAATGATGTGACTGACAAGGGCTTAATCTCCAAAATATACAAACAGCTCATACAATCAACAACAAGAAAAAACAAACAACCCAATCAAAAAATGAGCAGAAGATCTTAACAGAAATTTCTCTGAAGAAGACATA